TAGGCATTGTCCTAATACAACGCGATAACGCGATCATCGCGCGTTTAAACGATGCGACCATCGCGTGATCGCGAACTGGGTGTCCTAATAGAACGCAAATACGGAACGGGTTAGCCCTGCCCCTCTCCCCGCTTCCTATCGACGCGACGCGATCATCGCGCGAACTTCAGTTAGGACACCTATTCATCATTAATAGGTTTGATTCCGCGTTCGCGCGAACTAAGATCGCGCGAATAGATTTTTAAACATTTTAGTCGCGCGAATGCATCGCGCGATCGCCTACTAGGACACCTATTCTAGATCAATATGTTTGATCGTCGACTCGTACGATGATCGCATCGCTCATTCGCGTTATCGCGTTGTATTAGGACAATGCCTTATTATTATAATACGGTAAAATAAAATAATGTTTCGTCCAATATATTGAAAGTCAACAACTATTCCAATTTTATTGTGTGTCATGATGCGATCAGCCCACGTGTTTAACGTGACGCGAATTTAACATTTTTTACCCATACACAAAAAAGTGTACAACGCCGCTAAAGAAGTTTTCACTTCAAAAAGTTTCAAACAGTTATTGCAGTCAGGGTTCCGTTTTGGCGAAAATTTTGTACACCGACTTTTCTCTTTTAAATATGGCACCCGCAATACATACTTTTCTTAATCATAGTGCGAATATTTCTCGTGTTCGTTGACGTAAGAAATGATTTCAATAATACCTTATTAAATCGCCTGTGTTTTATAAAGTACTGGTAACCACAATACAGGCAATTAATCCGAAATTATTAAATTGTGTGACTTAGAATCACTTATATATATTTTAAATAGCGAATCGTTAGCTTTTTGAATATCCTGGATTAATATTAGAATCCTATATTCTAATATTTTTCCGGGAAAATGTCTAAATCCTATGTCTCAATTCGGTTTTCTACGCCATATCGAAAGCACGGAGAAGAATTGATCGGTGACAAATTCCATTTGATCGGAATTTCAATAAATCGATTATCAATAGATCGCATTGTTAATAAATCGATTTTCAAAGGATCGCTGTAACATTAGGACAAAATATCGATTTAAATCAATGTTCAATAAGTTCATTACAATTTACAAGTAACAATACAAGTATTGACAATTTTACATCTCAATATTATAATTTTACTGACTGATTGACAGTATTAAAAATAAAGTGCCAATTGTTAGCATCTGTCTTTAGAATGAATATTGGCAGGGGTTTTTACTATTTTTACAAAAAAATATTCACAATTTTACTAAAAACCAACGAAAAAGATAATAGTTTTCTTATCTATTGTCACGTGACCCAAAACGCTTTGGATTGGTGGAGCCTAAAATGACGTCACACGCAAGTAAACTTCCGGTTAAAGTGACAGTGACTGATTGAGTTACAAACATACAAACTTTCACATTTAATAATATTAGTGAGTTTATGATTAAACAACATTATTACAAGTTCAACAGCAACTTTCAATAAGCTTTCTATGGCCGGGTTTTGTAAATTATCTAGTTTTTAGAGTTCCGCTCTTAAAGCGTCCCCCCACGACAACGGCTAACTAGAGCCGAGGTCCGCGTATCAGAGACGCCCTCTTGTTGAGCTGACCCCCTCAGGTTCGTGTGGTCTAGAGGCTCCAGACGGAGAGGAGACTACTCCCGTGGGGAGACGCCATCCGCCTGGAATACCTCTAGAGGCACTCGCCAATTCTCGGCTTGAGGTCGTCTTAGGATCTCGCCGCCCGGCGACGCTGTAAAGGTCATCTGCGACCAACAGCATACACACTCAAAAAAAAAAACTTAAAAAGTGACAAGAGGAACCCTATCAAAATGCCTTCACTACTTGTCTGTCACATCACAGGCCTCTATCTCTTGAACAGAAAAAGGCAGAATTTGAAGCTTGATATTTTCACAGAATGCGTGTTACTTTATCACAAGAAGAACATTAAAAAAAAAAATTTTTTTTAAACATAGATCAGACAAATGACTCCATCCCACCTGATATTAAGTGAAGGTGAAGTCCAGACGCGAAGATAGCTGATACAGCAGTTCTACCTGCCACACCAGCCATCCTCACCTTGCCGGCCTGCATGTTGCTTCTTCACGCCTCTTTAGGATCCCAGGTTGTAAGAGGGAGGGAACACGTGAGCGGGCAAAGCATTCCATTTACGGATAGTGCGACAAAGAAATGAGTCATCAAATTTCTTTGTACGCGTTGGAATTGTGGCCACAGTTAGACGGTGACAACGTAGGGCAACGTGCGTGGTCCTTTGAAGGAAAGGAGATGGTGAAGAAATATTAAGTGCACGGAAGCCACATCAATATAACATATAGAATAATTAAAAAATAACATTAAAAATTAATTTTCATAGAGTTTTTCTTTACACTCATCGCATTAACAGTGGATTTCTTACAATTTTTCTCGCCCGCTCAGTAGTAGGTACAACAGTAATGAGTTCCTTTCTACTCAATAAAAAAATAAAGAATTGCTCAGAAAAATGTGTGCGTGTACTAGTGTACACACGTAAGAAGTGAAACTTCTTTATGGCCTTATTTTTCGAAAAATGATCTACATGCAACATTCCAGAAATTGGTTAAATAAAGTTAAATTAGATAAAGTTTAAACAAAAGGATTTTATTATCATAGACATGAATACAAATTACTGCCTATGAAACTGTTATGATTACACGGCTCAGTAATCTAAGGCACATGTTCCACCTCCGACGATGAACGATAAGCGAGTAGAAACTAGAAACGAATTGGCAGTCCTGAGTTAAAATGCACGCGCACGGCTTTTGACAGCCAAGCCAGCTTAACCGAGCGAGTATAGCTGAGCGAGTATCGCTGAGCTAGTATCGCTGAGCGAGAATCGCTGAGCGAGTATCGCTGGGCGAGTACCGCTGAGCTAGTATCGCTGAGCGAGTATCGCTGAGCGAGTATCGCTATGCGAGTATAGCTGAGCGAGTATCGCTCTATTAATAATAACTATTGTCACTCAGCTACAAACGAGTAGAGAGAGTTCTCGCCGGCGACAGTGTGATCATTCAGCTATCAACTATTAATATAAAAAAAGATGGCGCGTAACGGAAAATGTGACGCGTAACCGAAAAATGTGACGGTAAATTTTTTTCCAACGCCGATAAAGAAGTTTCACTTTCATTTTTCCAAAGGATAAAATTTACTTATTATAATGCTTAAAATAATTGTTCGCGGAATTGTCTAGGTAAAAACATATTAAAATCATAATAACATGTACATGATTGATCTTTGGTTATGCATCTATCCAGCTAATTCGTGATCGTGAAATCATTTAAATAGCAAAAGCAAGATTCCGATACCGGGAATCGAACCCGAGCCTCCTGGGTGAGAGCCAGGTATCCTAGCCACTAGACCATATCGGATATCAATAGATAGGCAAAATTATAGAACATAAGCAAATAAGTGCTTGTAAAGAACTAATTTTGCATGTAATTCGTTTTTCTGGCCATCACTGTTACAAAAAAATATTAATATTAAAATTCATTTTGTCTTTATTTTCTTTGGTAAAAATAATGATTAATTTAGGACAAAGTTGGTTTTTAGTAAAATGCCCTCTATGAATTTATTAAAGAAGTAGATTGTTTGCCTAAAGCATTGTAAGTTTTGGCAAAGCACGCTGTTACAAGGCAACTAAAGCTTTTTGCACTAGATGGCGCTGTTTTGACGAATTCGTGCACTACAGAGAAGGAGTAATAATATAGGTAATTGACTAGTTGGCCCAGGGAACTTCGTACCGCCGCCATAAAAATATAGAGTGCTGTGGGAGGCACAGGAGTGATTCCGGAATGGGACAAATTAAATTTTCTCGCTCCGCAATATCGTGGAAAAGTATCTGGCTCTAGGCCGGACAGTTTACGGCTGTTTTGTGGATCTTAAGAAAGCATTTGACAGAGTTAAGCATAAGGATCTTTAGTGTTGCAATAATAGCAATTTCAAAGAAATTATCAAATGATTTTACTGACATTTGAAAATAGTTTAAATCGTTAAAAAAGAAATCCAAGGTTTGGATGTAATATTACAAAAATGTTTGGATCGATAAAACTGAATACGTCTGCCCTGAATAAATGCCAATTTCGACGCGTTGCTCAACACGTGCGTAAATCGCGAAATCTGGATAATTGCCCGACCAGGAAGTTGAAGAAAAGAGCAGCAAGTTGACTTGCTCTAATAAAAGCTATCTGAAGCAGTAAACAGCAAATGAATGCATTGGATCAGTCAAGTCCACTTTTATGTCAGGGAAACTACATTGAAAATAAATTACAATTATGTACATAGTTAAAGGATATATATTTCTATAGTTAGATAGGTGGTGCAGCGATGCCATTCATACGGCAATTGGAGCTCATAATTTCAGATCGTACGGCATACGGCAGGTTTATCATTACCGTATAATAATATACGGCAATCCAATTTTGGTTTTGACTCGATTTACGAGTACATGGATAATGTTATAAGTTAATTACAATTCCAACAAAACATCGTATTAAATTGTAGTTTAGGATACATTCCTAGTTCAATCAGTTACTGAAACTCTAAATGAAACTCTTTTGGCAAAGCAAGCCAACAGAAATCAAGTAAACTGTACAACATTTCAGCCATCCAGTGGCATATGTGTGTAAAAATGAAAAATAAGGACAAATATTGTTTAAGTAAACACGACAGCGAAATAGTTGAGTCTATTAGAAATCTGTATGTCGATGATATTTATGAGTAGGTTATTTTTTTTTTCTTCCATAATATAGTTACTATTCTAACTACCTACCTATAAATTTTAATAAGTAAAAATAAGTAATTCGGCATTATCATGATTATTATTTAATAATACGGCAATCTGATGTATCGAATACGGCAACTCTATCAAACTTGATGGCAACACTGGTGGCTCTATATTTAACATATTGTTGGAAGGATAATATTGAAACGAAAATGTTACTCGTTGAATTATTTATTGACTCATACAATATTAGCAGTAAATAGTAATACTAATGACAAACTAAATAAAGCTTGACTTAATAGAAAAATTAAGAGAATACCTCCCTAATCATTTTTAAATATATTTTACTTACGTTAGGGTCATTTTTTATTTTGGGATTGATTGACATTAGCGTAGATTTAATATAAATACCTATAATAAATCTATGCAAATAAGCTTAGCAAATATACACTTTATTATAAAATAAAATCTATGTTAAAGTTTTTTTTTATAATAATATTTTTTTATTGTTATTATAATAACATGATTTATAGAATATGCAAACAGAATTTGCCCCTGATTTAAAGTAAATTAAATAAGTTACTATTATTTACGTAATTTATGACCTCAAAATGTACAACACACACTACAAGAACAAGAACGATTTAAAGTCTGGCTCCACTATTGTGTCTAGAATGTAGAACTTCATCAAGTAATATAGTCATTCCCATGGGTTCGACTCCACGTTCTCATTTACAGCATCTTTCATTTTCATAAGTTTCTTCTTATTCATTCTACTCTCTATAGGAACTTCTACAATCTCGCCTTTGTTAAAATCCTCTGCTACTATCATCGGCTTGAAGTCATCTACAGTTTTGATTGGCGGTTCTTTGTGCTGTTTCATTTTCTGCAACACTTTCATTGGATAGTAAACGTACTTCACACCATTCACGTATTTGTAAGTGGGCTGCCTCTTTCTTCTGTTTACGCTTCCACCTATTATCCTGTTGATCCAGTAAGTATAAGCATATTGGAGGGCATCGACTATACCTCTCTTGCCTCTCGATTTTGGCTTATCGTTTTCCGTGGAAGTCTCAATAATGTTTTTGTTGTGATTTCTGACTGCTGGTGTTACGTACGATACAGTAAGTTTGTGAGCATCAGTTATTTCAGGATTGTTGTTGATTGACCTGCTTTGCCATTGTCCGTTGGCGTCGTAACCTCCACCGGCACCTCCCCCTGCGTAGTCGGAACCTGGGTTGTGAAATCATGTTTGTTTATTGTTAAAGGGAGGCAAAGGTTTGCTGTTTTTCTTATGTTATTTATACTGGGAATATACCTGCTGGCATCCAAGCACCGCCGCCTCCGCCACCTGCCGGCCAACCCTGAAAATTTTTGGGAAAGTTTAGAGGTTTTGTTATACAGCAAGATCCCAAGGTCGCCAAACCTTACTTATTTTCTAATGGACAAAATAAATGGATAGTCGTATTTGTAGAGTAGTATTTGTGTGTAAAATGAAGCATCGCTTACTCGTGCTGTGGGCCAATTTTAAGGTACCAGGTGGCACAGATACGTAAAAAATTTACTCACTTTACTGATTGAGGACTGATTCTTATGTTTGTTGTAGAGAGTAGTAAACAATTTGAAATGAATGCTGCCAGACATCTTCTATCGCCAGACACTTTAAATGTCGAAAGCAAAAAACACAACCTTTCTCAATTCAATTGGACATTAGGACATTATTTTATTATGGCTAAAGGCTTTCTTTACACTATATTATTTATTTGACCTACCTATTTGTTTTATGAATCTATCAAAACTGAACTTGAAATTATAAAGAATTGAGTGTTTACATAGTTAAACAAATTCCGTCCTGTCCACAATAAGTAGTAATACGATAATACATATTTGTTTACGTTATAAGGTGCCCTTTTATATTTTCTAATGTAAAGTGGGAAACCTTATTACGAAATAAGTGCAAAAGAAAAACTATGGACGCATTTCAAAAACTAGGAAAAAAAAGTCATAAACGCAGAGTGAATGACTGTTATCGTGATGACAACAGAAAATATGTACAATATGCCTTACCTTTGGAAAATGACTCATTAAAGTTTAATAGGTAGGTAGTATCTAGTTAATTTATTTGTAGCAAAGGATGTATTTAGATATTTACCCCGTCACCGCCGCCGCCACCGCCTCCTCCACCGCCCTTCTTTTCAAGAATTTTCATCAGCAGCATCATCTAGAATGGAAAAAGTTTACAATACGTATGATAACTAAAGCGTACTCGTTCGTAGAAGTTCTGAAACTTGAGCATACTTAGTTACTTAAATTTAGGGAGAATAAGACGCCTGATACTTTAATGTAGCAATTTTGAATAAAAACGTACATTGCAATATCTACAGCCTAAGAAGCTGTAAACTTTAAAATTGAAAGCACGGTATTGTGGACCTCAACACAGTCAGTAATGCTCAGTAATGTTCATTTGTCGGGAGACATCGTTATTTGTCGGGAGTTTGGAGATCACATAAAATGTTGGGAGAATCCAGACGATTCCACACCATCTGGCAAACCTTACTAGAAAGCTCAGCAGGATGATTCAGTGTTCGTTTATGTATACTTCCATCTAAGCGTAAATATTTAAATAAGTATAAAACTTTTATATGGTATGTATTAACCTCAGGTAACATGCTAATGTATTACAGCCTGCATCAACCGTGTGCGTTGGATAAAAACTATATTTCATATTCTAATGTTATTGCTAATGCTCTCGTGTCAGGGGTTAATTTTAATCTTAGTTAGTTTTCAAATTATCTAACAGAATCGTGTAGGTTCACATTCTAGATTATATTGTGACATTACCTTAGCTATCATGAATGACATCATGCTGAACATCATTCCTTTGAAGGACATCATTCCCATCATTCCCATCATCGCGGGAACCATCTAGAAACAGAAATGTGAATAAAAGTTACGTCACACCATCATAAATGCCCCTTTCAAGATAACAGAGCAATTGATACTCTACGAACAAAACCTTACAAAATTTAATGAGGCTATTATTTGAAAACCTAGTGTAAACAATATTTTTCCTTAAATACCTAAACCCTAAACTTACTTGAAAACTATTTTCTTGACTTTAAGCGAATCGATCGATTACAAGTATTTACTAACCAAATTGTCTATGCTACAGAGGATTTCTGGTAAAAGAGAAACGGTCGCTAATGTGCTCTTCATAGAAATTTCTGCGGTGGTTCTAGTAGCTGTTGTCTAACTACCTATATCTTTCGCCCGTTTTCATTAATTCTCTCCTAACAGATCACAGGAAAGCGTGAAGATAGATGAAAGACATATTATTAAAAAAAAACGTACCATCATAAGTTTCATCTTCATACACATCATGGCCATCATCATCATCTTCTTCTTGCCGCCGTCGTCACCACCGCCGTGCCCGCCTCCGCCGCCACCCTTGCGCCTTTTTCGACCCACAAACTCATCTACTGAAATTACCAGTTCACCAGTTATGTCACATACGCAGGGTTAGCTATTGACTTCAAATTGGTCGGTATTGGCGTCCGTGAATTGATTCACACTGTTTACATGTATGTAGTTGTTTCATGTAATCGTGACGTTACCTCCACAATGCTAAAATTGGGTCAGCAAAACACAGCAGCAGTTGTTCAGCGTGTAAATTTGCTTTAAATTGAGCAGCCTAAGCTATACTACAGCCTAAAATGTAATTTCATAACTCTGGTGAAGGTTTCGTAAGCCTAGCCTATTTTAATTGTTAGCGAAGGATGCTGTTTCGATTTTATCCACGATTATCATACAATTAGAATAGTAGAAATCTAAAGTTCACAATACCTGTGTTTGGAACTGACACATCCTTTCCCAACGCGCTGAATTTCATAACGTGGTTACTAAAGAATTTATCGACAGCTCGGTCGATCATGAAAGACAGTTCTTCTGAATCGTTTCCTCTGGTAGATTCGTCGCTTACTTCTTCGTTGTCAGAAGTGTTGAGTCGGACTGTAAATAACGTTATCGTATATGCAAAATATTTATAGTTCGAGGATAGGGGTTGTCAAAGTATTGAAAGAGCAACCAAATTTTCATGGAACGTGGGGTACCAAATCAAGTTCTTCCTATTAGTTGTCTAATATTTAAAACATATAAGCTGCATACGTTAAGTAAATTGGTTGCATTCAATTTCAAGAGAAATTATAGATTTTATTTCTCCAATTCAGATTTAGACGTGAAGTTTAAGTTTAAGATATAAATTTATTGCAACAATAACAAGATTTAAGTTAAGCAGTTTTTCTACTTTGGAAGCAGGTAATATAGATTTAAAGACGACTTCCTTTTCTGTTAAGAATAATCTACGAAATTTTCCAATTATTTCTAATCATTATCCTACATGATATTTTGTCTTATCTGATAAATATTATATTATTGTAATACTTACCGAATTTCACATAGTCTCCTACAACAGACACTTCTGGCAACTTGTTCAACTCCTTGAGATACGAAAGCGTCTTTCTTTGCACACACGTGTACGACAAATGCAAAAAACAATCCGTATATACTCCAGAGAAAACTCTATTTATATCGTCGTCTCGATTTTGATCTTCATCACTTACAATAGATTTCTCATATGTGCTATTTCTAATTGTTAATCCATCAATGAACACTGATAAACATATAAAAGCAGTTACAAGTTTCCTAAAAGCCATAATGTCTCGGTTTGCGTTTCTCGTGCAAATGAAATACAAGTCAGTCGTTGAAGATTATTTATTTTCTTCAAGTTGTAGGATATTGGGTCAAATGTCGGCGGTTTTATGGTGAAAACCTGTGATTGTATGGTTAGATCTGTAATGTAAACACAGTGTTTGGGCGCAGTGGTTAGGGGAGGTCTTCAGAGAGATCTTATTGTTTTGATGGTTGATCAATAAACGCCTTTGTGTCGTTGGGTGTTGAGTCGAATGTTGTGTTAACGAGTTACAGGATGTTCATTTGTTCCTGCGTTTGTGTTTGCCGCCTGCTTTACTCGCGACGTAGGGAAGTATTTAGTTTTCATTGGGATACATTAATTTTTATTTACCATTAAAATAGAAAAGGCTATAAGAATGCAGCCTGTAAAGGATGCGAAACATAGATATGTGTATGATAAAAAAGCTTCTTAAACTCGTTGAAAAGTAATTAATTTAATGAGAAAAGACGCTGTATTGTAAAGCAGTGTCTTTTGTATGTCATTTTCTTCAGCATTTTTATGTAAGAACCCCCATTTGATCCAATATATGCAAAAGAGGCGTACATTTTTTAAGTTATTTTTTTGCAAATTGTAAGTGTCCCATTGCGGAAGATTTTAAAATACCTACACCTCTCCTCAACTCTTTTAAAAGCTTCTTTGTCAATCTGTCTTCTTTCACATGACTCTACCGTTATTCGTGTAACTCTAGCCTCTATTTTTATCAGTTACTCCGTCAATGGCTATCATATCGCTTGCAACAGTGCCGAAATATCGGAGACTCATAAAAACCAAGGTACATGGTAACAATCCCGTTAATGTTTGTAACCATGAATGTTTATAACAATAAACTTTAGCTTATAGTTTCTATCTACATAGTTTAGATATTGTACTATGGTTCGAAACCCCTTGTCTGCAAGCCCAAATTCCACTTTTTCAATTTTTTTTTTATTATATGACAGATGTTCTGATAAGTCAATAAGCAGTATGAAAGATGAATCTATATATATAAAACGCAAAGGTGACTGATTGACATAGTGATCTATCAACGCACAGCCCAAACCACTGACAGGATCGGGCTGAAATTTGGCATGCAGGTAGATGTTATGACGTAGGCATCCACTAAGAAAGGATTTTGATCAATTTTACCCCCAAGGGGATAAAATAGGGAATGAAAGTTTGTATGAAACTTTGTCAATTTTAAACCGATCGGGCTGAGACTTTGCATCCAGGTATAAGAATCATAGATGAACGTCATTGTGTATAATACAAGCCTGAGAACAAAAACTGTAGTCTACACTTCAGCTCTACACCGAAGCGAAGCGAGGGCGGGCCGCTAGTAAATGAATAAAACTTTATAAGAAGTGCGATCTTTGTCGCATCCTACATGGCTATTCTATAGAACAAACTCAATTTTCAGCGCGGAATCCGTGGTGTGATTTAAAATTAATTTCAAATCACACTGGCGAATCCTGCGGTGAAATGTGAGTAGTGCTATTTTGTTCATACAAAATAGCACTGCTGATTACTTAAATGAGGCGATCATTTGGTCACCATGATAAGGATTTTTTTAGGTTTTTCATTTTCCTGTTCTTATATGGACTGTTGTATCCGACTATTTGCTCTCTAATAGTTAGTGGTTATCTTCAGGTCTCTATGCAACTGTTTATTAGTACTTATATATGTACAGTATATGTATTCTACCCGTTACCCTTTTTTTTTTGGGGAAGGTGAAAATGCATTTACGCACTTCCCACGACCGTGCCCTGCCGTGGGGGTATGTGGGACTCCACGGGGCATACTTCACGCCGCGCCGCGACTACCCACTAAAAACACCTCCTGCGGTTCCATCTTCACACGATGGGGGAAGGGTATCCAGCAAGCCTTTGCCCCAGACCCCAACCGTGAAAGCGCCCTCTCGGACCCTCCTCTTTGCACTAACTTCCCTTGTGTGCATTGGCACGAACCGCGGGACGTTCTGGACTCGACTCGTTGAGGAATCTGTCCGTCTCTCTCTGGGGGCATCATCAGGCAGATTGGCCTGGATAGTATGCCCTAACTCGATGGGAAGCCATTTATAATGCGGGGCTATTCTATCCGTTACCCTCGTATCCCATAACACAAGCCTTACAGACCTTACAGTACTTACTTTGGGGCTAGGCTAATTGGTGTGATTGTTGGAAATATTATTATTATTAGTTTCAAATTGGACTTAGCCGATTTTGATCTCAATAGAGGAGAAGCTTGATTGCGCTTTTGGCTGTGATCGTTGCACTTAAGCAACTTTCGCAGTGGTCGGTTATTGGATGGGTGACTAAAAATTTACTATCTTGTGCTCCTTCGTGCTTTGGAAGGCACCATAAGCCGTTGGTCCTGGTTGCAGCTGTCGTTAGCAACCACCAATCCGCCCTGGGACCGCGTGGTAGGTCATGGCCCAATCTCCCTATTCCATACGTAGGGAAGGCCGGTGTACCAGCAGTGGGGATATTAATAGGGTGATGATAATGAGATGTTGTTTGTTTACATATATGACCGTTTAGTATGTTTGAGAAGTTCATTATACTGTTCTTATAGGATTCGATGTAACTGACTGTTTCCTCTCCAATCATCATCATCATCATCATCAGCCTATTAATGTCCCCACTACTGCGGCACAGGCCTTCCCTATGGATGGAATAGGGAGATTGGGCCATGACCCACCACGCGGGCCCAGTGCGGATTGGTGGGTGCTAACGACTGCAAATGCAGCCGGGACCAACGGCTGAACGTACCTTCCGAAGCACGGAGGAGCTCGAGATAGTAAATTTTTGGTCACCCATCCAATGACTGACCACTGCGAAAGTTGCTTAACTCCAACGATCGCAGCCGAACGTGCTAGCCACCTGCGCCTTCGAGCTCCTCTCTAATAGTGGACATCTTCAGGTATATGTATGCAGTATATATATATATGTATATATAGGTATATGTATGTATGCTATGTATGCAGCTAACAGCTGTTTAAATATTCCAAGTTGCAATTAGCTGGCTTTAATGTCACTAAAGTTAATTTGGCGATAAGGGGACAGGGTGATAGTGTGCGATTGATTGGAGGAGCTCAATGACGTTGCTAGGCGATAGCAAATGAAAAGCATCTTTCGCACTGGACGGTCATAGGATGGATGACCAAAATGAAATATGTAAAATTCTTCCCAATTTGAGGCATTCGTTAGCACCCATCTATCCGCATTGTAAAATGTCTTTAGCACCTACACTTTTAATAATATTAAAGTACAAAAGGAGGAGGAGTACAAGAGGAGGAGCTCGATGGCGCAGGTGGCTAGCGCGTTCGGCTGCGATCGTTGAAGTTAAGCAACTTCTGCAGTGGTCGGTCATTGGATGGGTGACCAAAAATTTACTATCTCGAGCTCCTCCGTGCTTCGGAAGGTACGTTAAGCCGTTGGTCCCGGCTGCATTTGCAGTCGTTAGCACCCACCAATCCGCACTGGGCCCGCGTGGTGGGTCATGGCCCAATCTCCCTATTCCATCCATAGGGAAGGCCTGTGCCCCAGCAGTGGGGACATTAATAGGCTGATGATGAAAGTACAAAAGAAGTTTTATCATGCTGTGAATTATATTAAGGATCGCTTGCATAGACATACAGTTATCGCAAGCGTCTATTAAGATAAGCGTCGTTAATCTATGTGTGGCCGCTAGTTTGCCACCTTTTTAACATAAAAAATATACTTAGCTTAACACAAGTTTAAGAGAGGAAGAAGAAGCTAAAGACGTGAAAAAAGATGAAAAAAGAGGCGTGAAGAAGTATTATTGCAGGCCGGCAAGGTGAGGATGGTTGGTGTGGCAGTTTATAACTGCTGTACCAGCTATCTTCGCGTTTGGACTTTATCACCACTTAACATCAGGTGAGGTACAGTCATTTGGCTACCTAGCTATAAACAAAAGAACATCATTAGAATTTTGTCAGTTCATTAAAGTCAAATAGAGATAGTATTATCTTTATATATATAATTCTTCTGTGAGTGTGTATGTCACTGAACTTCTCTTAAACGACTGTACCGATTTTGATGAAATTTTTTGTGTGTGTTCAAGGGGATCTGAGAATGGTTTAGATTCACAATTTTGTCCGCTGGACAGCCCCTATTTTTTTAGGGCGGTACGAAGTTCGCTGGGTCAGCTAGTCTTATATATAAAATTCTCGTGTCACAATGTTAGTTACCATACTCCTAAGAAACGGTTTGACCGATTTTTATGAAATTTTATATGCATATTCAGTAGGTCTGAGAATCGGCTACTATCTATATTTCATACCCCTAAGTGATAAGGGTTGTCCACCCGTAACATTCTTTTTTCAATGTGGCATTAAAAAATACATACAATCCTTAATTTTCAGCTTTCTACCGCCAACTCTTTTATGACGAAGTTCGCTGGGTCAGCTAGTTGCTTATAAATACATGCTTAGCTTTGCAATTTATTTATGATATTTGGTTGAAGCAGATATGTGTCAGTTGCTTCTGTCAAACTTTCTTATTGGTACCCTTACTATCTACAAGTAAGTCATGTGTTCAATACGTGTCAAATTTGCCTAAACATAATTTGAGAGTGTCTTACTTTTTTTATTACAATCGCTAAAGTACATCTTTTTAGGTTAGGCAGATAGGGCACACATTGAACTAGGTATTTCGGTACAGTTTTTTAACCAAAGATTTGGACCACGCGATTTCTCAACAACATACAAAGGCAATGTAATAAAATAAAAACTAAAAAAGTTCTCTACAGCATTTGTTTTTATCATAAAAATGTACATAAAAATCATAAAAAAAATAAAGACATATATGTTATATTTATACTAGAAAGCTTATGAAGACACGCAAGTAACATAAATATACTTTTAAGATTATACAATAAATAGTAGGTATTTGGTTTAAGCATTAATTACATCATTATACTTTGTTAAGGCAAAAATAAATATATCACAGCTATACATACCGCAAAAAATAAAATAAAAAAAAACAATAAAAAATTAGTAAATTAAATTAGAAAAGTGTTTACTTATCATCATACATAAATACCTTACATATTTCACAGAAAAAAATAACATAATATAAGTTAAAAATATATCTTACACATATAATGGATTTTTTTATTAATTATATATTTAATGAATATAGTACCGAGTAGTCACGGTGGGGTTAGAGTATTTTATACTTTACATACATATACATAATTATAGTGACTACAGATAAATATTTAATTATTTATATACTATTAATTAAATATTACTATGATTAATAGTTAATAACAACTTTAACACGCTCCATTCAGAACTGCAATAAATAAATTCACAAGAATAACAACGGAAAGAATAAGTTAATTTAATAAATTAATTGAAATAAATTAAAGTTACGTCTAAGATAAATATATCCTGAGATACTATATCCTACATCTCATAATTAATAATTTAAATAAAAAAAATGCTAATTCAATAAACATTTTAGTTAAATTCGCAAAACAATCTAGCTTTTTTATTCAACTGTAAAATAAAATGATGCGAAAAATAATCGGTAAGAAATATACACTATATCGCACATTATGCACTCAGCTAACTTTAATCAAGTCTATAGTTTGTAGAAATGTATAAAGTTAGTCATTTCTAAGTAACAAAAACATAATGAAGTTCGCCGAGCCATTTTGTTTTCCAAAATCAACCATATTAATAGTTTAGCCTTACAAGAAACAAATGACATGACATTAAAGCAATATATAAACTTATATGTCGCATTTAAAAATAAATTAAATTAGAATTATGTTCCTTAACTAGACAAGACATCAGTTACAAAACAGCTAGAGACGATATATAAGCTAAAATTCAAGAATAACCTTTAAACAGAAATGGTATAAATTATTACAATGCTAATAATGACATTAATGAAGCTAAAGATGAAATTTAGCTTGACGTGGTATCGTAAGGCATGTAGCTGTTGTAACTCATGTCGTAGGCTCTTCTGTAGCCTCCATGGTGTCCATGCTCATGTTGCTCTTCGTGACTGTGGGAGTGGTGATGGGACACTTCGGGTTTGGTGATGATTTCGTAAGTGGTGGATTTGTGACCGCCGCTGCCTTTGAGGCCGACGAGAGCAGACAGCAACAGGGACATCAGAGCCGTCATCAAAGCTTTACCTGCTAACAGCGCTAGGGCACCTAAAGCAGCCGCTCCCAATGCACCTGTGGAATAATGAAGACATGATAAAGTTGGTTAAACATAACAAACTGCAGCTCAAACACAAATGTACAAGTTGCTTGGTTTTTTGGTTTTTCCTTAAAAAAATAATTTTCTCTTTAATTTTCTATATGTGTCTTAGTTTATTACCTTTCATCATCAAAGCTACTGCTAGAAGACCGCCGCCTCCCTTGCCGCCTCCAAAACCACCACCGCCGCCCCCCTTGCCCCTGCCGACAGACTCATCTTTCGCCAGTTCCATCGCATCTTTAGCTGTCTGAGAATCCAGCAGTTTGTACTTCAAAGAGTGCCCATCCAGGTAGTTCTGGAGCCGGTACAAAAGGAACCTGTTCAGTTTCTCCTCCGGTTTTCCAGGGAATTGCCGGGATAGCTCCGCAGCCATTTCCTCGGCGCTGGGCGTGCTCCCGGTCTGGTTTTCCTTCACAATACTCAGTCCAGGGAAGAGAGACAGCTCATCGCGAGAGCTCAAGTCCTCCAGGAACGAAAGCGCGTGTATCTTCAAGCATTTTGCACTCAACAAGCTACTGCATTCCTTATGCAAAGATCTGCCTGTCCGTTCCGTATTGTTGGCAATATTCTTCTGGGTATCCGATATCGTATTGGCATGGTTGTCCTCTATCAGTCCTTTGGTTTGGTAAGCACACACTAGCACCAGCAAGATCACTGCATTTTTAGCACTCATTTTTTCACAGTCTTTCTGAATCACGGTTAACACTTGACGATATATTAGTTGCAATAAATAAACACTTTTCGCTAGCAAGCTAATGTCATATCGATGACGGAGCTCTCCGTACTGATTTAGTTGGTGCATTTCCGTTTTATTTATACCCGTTAAAAATATAAAAAGTATAAGAAGTCAACTTATCTCGGAAATTGTAAAACGAGCAAAATAGAGCGATAGCTTTGAGCTTTGTTCACGGCGAAATCAGGCACTTTCGAACGGTAAATAAGTGGAAACGATTGGCTTCGATTTTGGCTACCATTCTTACTTCTTTTTATTTTCCTAATGCATTTGGACCGAATCTGATGTTACGAAATAATACATCACGATGTAGTTGAGTCTGTTGATTTAATGAACAGCTGTTTTAAATGTGAACTGATTATTGGTCTCGATTCAAATGAAAATTATAAATAACTATTATAACGTATGAATGTTTACGTTAAAAGTCATTTTATTCTTTGCCAATAGTCTTATAAAAAGCGCTTTCACACGACCCAGTATTACTAATAACCACTGCTTCAGGGTAATAAATGGGCTAGTGCTGAGAAGTTATAGTAGAGCAAAATATGCAGATGTACCTTTCATATCTATTTGAATTAAAATCTGTTAGCTATCTCTTCTACTTATGCGCATGGCGAAGTATCGCTTAAGAATTCATCGTCAGATTTGAATACTCATTTACTATTAGTTGTGCTTCGTTTTGTTTCGTCATGACGGACATCCGTCTGTATGTCCGTCCGAGGACTATTAACACTAGAGAGCTGAAATTTTGTGGAGGTATGTATATCAATCACTCCGATAAAGTGTTAGGATACAACTTTGAAAAATCTCTTATCTATTAGACAAGTCCGTCCGTCTGTCTGTCTGTGGTGCTGTTTCAGCGGCCAAACCGTAAGAGATAGATAAAGAGAATATTTAAGATATAAGTTAAGAATAGTCTGATAAGACTACAAACCGGATTTGAGTAACGTAGCACTTCCGGTTTTCGAGAAATCACGAATTTCAAACGAAACTTCTATATATTTATATTACTCGCCTTGGCTCGTTTACCCCTTTAGAAAATATTTTGACTATTTCCAATAAAAGTAAACAGTAGATTTATTCTTCCCATTGTATGTTAATGTAGAATATTTGCAAATACTATTTTCCTTTTTTTGTACTGATCGTTCTACCGCAGCTAGTTTACGGAAAAAAACGATAATATGCACAATTTCAAACACCTGAATCTCTAAATAATGATCAATAAATTAGATCAAATTAATTACTGACATCAAAGATATGTTTTTTTGTAACATAATGTATAAGAATTTTGATTTTAAATATCATTAGTTATCAAAAAAAAAAACATCTAACCTCCGTGAGTTTTCCCAAAAAAATAATGCAGGTTTACCTTGTATTTCGATATTGAATTAAATTGAATTACTATCAAAAACTTTCATAAAACTAATCTACCATCATTGAACTACTGAAATATGTATATATTTTTATAATAAGTTTATTAATAATTATTTTATAAGACTCGAATCATCACCCGTAAATTGCAATATATACCAGTGCAAATCTAACTACGCGCCGATCAGTACGGCAGCGGACTTTGCAGGAATCGCATGGAAGACGCTTTCTGCAAAGGGTGCGAAACGTCAGTAAATAAATAAAATCAGTGCATATAATCCGTTGAAACTTGTTTTATTTACTATTCTGTAATGTTCTGTGTATCCATTTATGTCACCACTAGTGGCCCGCCCTCGCTTCGCTTCGGTGTAGAGCTGTAGTGTAAACTATAGTTTTTGTTCTCAGGCTATAAAGAATGACTTTAGTTATATAATTACACGTGTTATTGTGAGTCAACCATAAAAGATAGACATATTCTGTTGCGGAATATTTTTTAGATAATTTTATGTAGAATATTTCCGTCATACATGATTTCTATGTAACTTTAACCATTAAGGTTGCACCCGCGACGGAAGCTTAAAAAATGGAGTAACTTCTCCCGTTTTCCCAACATTTCCCTTCACTACTCTGCTGCTATTGATTGTAGCGTGATGAAAAGTATACTATAACCTGCTCAGGAGCATGAAGAATAATTGTACCAAGTTTCGTTAAAATCCGTCGAGTAGTTTTTGTTTCTATAAGGAACATACACACAGACAGACAGTCAGACAAAATTTTTACTGATTGCATTTTTGGCATCAGTATCGATCACTAATCACCCCCTGATAGTTATTTTAAAAATATATTTCATGTACAGAATTGACATCTCTATAGATTTATTATAAGTATAGAATAGATAAAGCCATTATAAGCCGCCAATAAGTAAGAGATTAAGGCAAAAGTTTCACTTAAGTTATTGAAGTTACTGCGCCAAGTGAGAGGCAGTGTTACAGAGCATAGACGACCTCCGTGGACGAGTGGTTTGTACGCCGGTTTTCATGGTGTCGCCTACTCGAGAGGTCCCGGGTTCGAATCCCGGTGGGGGCAGATGTTTGTGTGATCAATACGAACATTTGTACTCCAGTCATGGATGTTTAATATGTATTTCTAAATAAATATACTTATATATGTACAGTATAAATATTCTATCCCTTACCCTAGCATCCCATAACACAAGCCTTACAGTGCTTACTTCCAGGCTAGGCTTATTGGTGTGAGTGTTGGGAATATTATAGTTTAAAAGGCACATCTCTGCTATTCGCTTATTTGTTTATCTTGATGTGTTTAATCACTTTCATGTGCCGCCATCTTAAGAAGCTGTCATTAGACCTCAAATGGCCAGGTATAATACAGAGACATTCCATAGGTTACACTGTGCCTCTTGTTATACTTGGAGGCAACATGCAGGCCGGCAAGGTGAGGATGGCTGGTGTGGCAGTTAGAACTGCTGTACCAGCTATCTTCACGTCTGGACTTCACAGCCACTTAACATTAGGTGGGTTGGAGTCATTTTTCGCACCTATATATGTAATAAAAATAATAATAAACATTTACAACTCTCACACCAATTAGTCTAGCCCCAAAGTAAGCACTGTAAGGCTTGTGTTATGGGATACTGGGGTAACGGATAGAATACCTAAACTGTACATATATTTAAATAGAAATACATATTAAACATCCATGACTGGAGTATAAATGCTCGTATTCATCACACAAACATCTGCCGCCACCGGGACTCGAACCCGGGACCTCTCGAATCGGCGACACCATGAAACCTGGCGTACAAACCACTCAGCCACGGAGGTCGTAAAATTAATCAGCCTAGCCCCAAAGTAGCACTGTAGGTTTGTGTTATGGGATACTAGGGTAACGGATAGAATTCCGCAGCGGACGGGGAGCGGTGCGTTGGACAAAAGGCCGCGCACTTAGCTCCTAGCGCGGGCAGGCCTGCGCACGTCTGCGGGATCTCCCGAAACACCCCGGGTGATCCGGGAGGCTGTTGGATCCAAAGCCACAAAAACGAGACTTGTCCGGGTACTGATATTCCCCATTTTTCTGTACGCTGCCGAGACGTGGACGCTGAGAGAAATTGAGAAAAAGAAAATAGATGCACTAGAGATGTGGTGCTGGAGAAGAATGCTTGGAGTGAAGTGGACAGAGTTTCGCACCAATGCATCTATTCTCCAAGAACTCAGTGTCAAACAGCGTCTAACAAACGTAGTCCAGACTCGAATACTACAGTTCTTTGGGCACGTTTCACGACGGGACAACACGTCCATGGAGCGTCTTGTAGTACAGGGGAAGGTCAAAGGCACGAGGGCACGTGGCAGGTCGCCCATGCGCTGGACCGACCAGATCAAATCGGCAGTAGGCGGCCCCCTGGAAGGATGGCGTCGCATCGTGAAGAGGATTATGGCTGTCCGGAACCTGACCGCTACCTGATGACCACGACCGCTCTGTCAAGAGTGAATCGGCAAAGAAGAAGTTGGATGCGGAGACGCGGTGAAGTCCCTCAACTTGCGATTCCGCACTTAGCCGAGTAGAGGGTATTCGCAGGGTTATATTAAGCGCTCGTAAGCTGCGCGGACTGCTTAAGAGCCCTTTTACGAAATTGCGCCGCTGCCGTACTGATCGGCGCGTAGGTAGATTTGCACTACAATATATTGCATTTTACGGGTAATTTTTCGAGTCTTATAAAGTAATTATTAATGAATTAATTATAAAAATATACACATATTTCAGTAGTTCAATGATGATAGATTAGCTTTATGAAAGTTTTTGATAGTAGTTCTATTTACTTCAATATCAAAATACGAAGTAAACCTGCCTTAAATTTTGGGAAAAGTCAAGGAGGTTAGATGTTTTTTTTTATAATTAGTGAGATGGAAAATCATAATTCTAATACATTATGTTTCAACAAAAACATATTTCTGATGTCTTAGTAATTAATTTGATCTAATTTATTGAACATTATTGAGAGATTGAGGCGTTTGAAGTTGTGTATATTATCGTTTTTTCCGAAAACTAGCTGCGGTAGAACGATCAGTACAAAAAATCGAAAATAATATTTGCAAATATTCTACATTAACTTACAATGGGAAGAATAAATCTACTGTTTACTTTTATTGGAAATAGTCAAAATCTTTTCTAAAAGGGTAAACGAGGCGCTCAAAAATTACAATTTTTTGCAAAATATTTGAAAGGGGTCTTAACGGCTTCTCCGTTTCGCACCCGTGAGCCTCGTGAGAGGCTAGGTGTGAGGTCCGAACGTTGATGTGCCCCATAAAGGCGCCAACGTCTGTAAATAGAGGTTTTGCCTGCGTAATAAAAAAAAGGCTCTCGCTCTCGCTTGAGGAGCTCGATGGCGCAAGTGGTTAGTGCATTCGGCTACGATCGTTGCAGTTAAGCAACTTTCGCAATGGTCGGACATTGGATGGGTGACCAAAAGTTTACTTTCTCGAGCTCCTCCGTGCTTCGGAAGGCACGTTATGCCATTGGTCCCGGCTGCATCTGCAGTCGTTAGCACGGCCTGAAGCCTATTAATGGCCTTCGGCCTGTGCCCCAGCAGTTAGGACATTAATAGGCTGATGATGATGATGATGAATAAAAAAAAGGGTAACGGATAGATCATATACATATAGAAATACATATTAAACGTCCATGACCGGAGTACAAATGCTCATATTCATCACACAAATTTAAAATTTCGATGTATGAAAAACGATGTCTTGTAACCCAATGAAATATTTGCGATCATCACATCATTAATCAGTACACATTTTCATGTAGCGAGTTACCTACGTGATTTTCGGAAGATGATTAAGAAAATATTTTTGCTTTAAATCGACATCCCGTAACCCAGTAGTTCCATGGAACTGACACACTGTCAACAAACTTAGTTGCCCCAAAAGTTTTTATAGTTTTACATAAGCGTAGTCAATACGCCATTACATGGTATAAAAAATTAAATTCAGCAAACATTAGGTACATCTAAATCTTAAAGAAAATCTCAAGAACGTACAAAGTTTCATAGCATTTTCTTTTGTCGACCCTGCCATCTTAATGATACAGTCATTACGCCGCAATTTAATGAGGCAGCCAGTAAGACAGGCGCTCCACATTATATAAATAAATCCAAATAATCATTACTCACAATTACTTTCACTAAAAATAGAAGAAAGAAGTACAATCTACGAAGAAAGTCGATCGGGGCGAGTTGCTCTTTTTTTTATTTTTGCCGCGAAACGAGATTAGCTCGACTTTCGTTTTGGTTGTAAACTTGCTCTCTATAGACGAGGGTGTAAGATATTATCATAGTGTATTATGCCCGGTTCACAGTAGATAGTGAATCAATCCCTTCCATTACTGGACTGGATTATATAGTTCACATTATTCCAGTGATTTTTACAAACGGTTGAACTGATGAGAGTATAGTCACAATTCTTAAAAAAATACAGTTCGAAAATGTTCCATGTTAAACATTCAATCCATTTCTAGAAGGGCAGTCTGTACTATTCCAGTGGCAATGGTTTGGGTGAGCTGCAATGAGAAGAAGGCCGTCAATTTAGTCGCTGGAATGGGAACACCCTAGTGTCCGTTAACATTATTCCAGGCGCATTTCATGGGTTTAATTTCTGGCTTAAATTGCTACCGTAATAATGTGAACCGGTCAACACTCTGTTAAAACTATACTCGGAAAATGAGAAAAAAGTACTGAAAAAGATTAGAATCAATAAAAGTCTTTCGAAGGTAGCTCGACATATTAAATAAAAGTTTGATTCTGACGACCTGGCCTGTAAAGGCTACGAAACGTCAATAAATAAATAAAGTTTCGTGCATTAACCCGTAAAAACTAATTTTATTTAATGAGTGATGTGCGTGAAAACAAATACTGGAAAAGATTGTTTGTAGACAAATCCATTCTCGATTAAAACACTTTTTTTTTAAATTAAATTCCTGAGTTTGAAGTAGATGGGCGCCTATGTGAAACTGGAATTAAGAATAGAATTTAATAAGTAAAGCAGTGTTGATATTTCTATATATTTATACCATCGTGGCTTTAGAAGTTTGTGCTAGCTTTTAGTTTCATTCAAACCATGTCCTTGAAATTACGAACATGATTCCTATGTGATGTTAAATTTTTTTATTAATAAGTTTAAGTAGATTACTCTACGAATCTTCAAAGACTATAATGACACTTAAATTTTCCACAAAAAGGAATGTCTTTTGTTTTCTAAAGGCTTTAATAAATCCTTTTTTCACAACAGAAGCGGAACACTTAAAATATTCCCTTCACTCTTAAAATGAATTGTTAATTAATTTGTACGTAATGAAAGAGCGGAAATGGGAAAGTTTAAAGGATTTTTCATTCATAAAAGCCTTACTATGAGAAATTTATTCGTTTCACAAAGATTACTTAACTGTAAGAAAAAAAGCATTTTGAAGTGATGTAGTTATGCTAAATGGGACCATATATAAGAAATTACGAATGTAGACAGTGACTTTTCCTAGATTCTATTATTATTATGTGGATCTACCATATTATTTCGTTAAAATAAATTTTGTTTCAATTTTTTATCTCAATATTTTTTTTCCCTTTCACAATGAGACTTTTAGTGGTTAATCTAAAGAGATGATGAGTTTCCGCATAATATACATTTGGTATCAAAAAAAATATTAGGCGATTGAAATAAAAATGTCCAATGTACAACAATTATCATCTTTATTTTCTTCGGGTGCTGAAGTTTGAAAAAAATCACAGATACAGAATAGTTTGACAACATAACTACTTAATAACAACATTTCAATAGATATATTATGTTATTGATAGGTTAACCATAATAATATGTCTTAAAATACACATATAAAGATATCTATATATATATATGATACAAGATTAAACAGTTTGTGAAAAATATATTACATTATATACATCTTAATAAGTAAATACATAAAATAATACTAACTACATATTTTATACAACAGTCTTGTGAAGATAAATAATGAGAAATAGAATACATTACAAATATTTACATAAATTACAAAAGCCTTTGAAGTATCAATAAATTATTTGTATTACATATTTAATATAGATACATAAAAGTATTTATTCGAATATATATTAAGAAATAAATACAATAATGAAAAATATACAAAATTATATATCAGTGTAACATAGAGAAAAAATTATAACATTATACAAATTGAATAAATTATATTTCAGAGACGTGATAAAGTGAAAGTAAATGATAAATACAATTTAGTCATTATAATAAGAAACAAATTTATACATACATATAAAAACGTCTCTGAACAATAAAACAAAATATAAATACTTCACAATATTAAGAATACACACAAAGATCAATGAATGAGATAGATTGTGTTTTTTTTCTTTATGCTAAAAATAAATAATTTAAATAAATTAACATTCATTAATAAACCAATAAGACGGCGCGACACATTTCGAATTTCGAATTCTTAAAAACTATTTTTGTTTTTTATTTTTTCTTTTAACGCCTCCTGACATTGAGGTTTCTGCCGTAGCCCGAGTGACCATAGCCTCCTACGTCTTCGTGGGCTGTGGAGTGTGAATGCGAGTGGCTGTATATGGGCTTGGATACGATTTCGTAAGTGGTGGATCCTTTTCCACTGGTCAAGGACTTGATTCCAATGATGGCTGAGAGGAGGAGTGACATCATAGCTGTCATGAGAGCCTTGCCAGCTAACAGCGCAAGAGCACCGAGGCCGATGGACATCAGGGTACCTGAGGAAGAAGAAGAGGTTGGAGTTAGTTAGTTTTTAGTAAAAGTCACTTTCAGAACAAAAACTCAAAACAATTAAACTGCGATGGTGGTTGGAACATCGAGGAGCTCGATGGCGCAGGTGACTAGCGCGTTCGGCTGCGATCGTTGAAGTTCAGCAACTTTCGCAGTGGTCGGTCATTGGATGGGTGACCAAAAATTTACTATCTCGAGCTCCTTCGTGCTTCAGAAGGCACGTTAAGCCGTTGGTCCCGGCTGCATTTGCAGTCGTTAGCACCCACCAATCCGCACTGGGCCCGCGTGGTGGGTCATGGCGCAATCTCCCTATTCCATCCATAGGGAAGGCCTGTGCCCCAGCAGTGGGGACATTAATAGGCTGATGATGATGTGGTTGGAACATAAAATGGAAAACTTAGACTCTATAATGTTCCATTTTCACTTAATGTTAACGCTAATTCAATCTTAGCTTTCATATGAATTACTTTTAATTTAAGGATAACCTATATCGTCTCTGAATAAAAAAAAATAGTTAATAAAACTTGTATTAAAAGAGCGACAGGAAACTAATAGTGCAAACATTTCCCCGCAGATTAATAACTTTGGTAAATAACTGTTAAACTAAAAATCTGTCCGTCCGTCCGTCTTTGATCTTCATATTGCTTGATAAAAGTTACCAAAAACGTTTGAGAATTTTTTAACACTAAGCCACCATCTGTTTCAAATTACATATAAGAACTTCGATACGTGTGGGACTAAACTGTTCATTATTCAAACACAATAGACCCGGGAGCAATTTCTTCACACACGCTTAAACGGTACAATTACACCCGTATACGCTACTAAAGAGACTCGTAAGTGCTAGGTGCCCATTAGATACGAAAATGTTGTATTTCCCTATTATTTCAACGCTCCAATTACCTCACACCGTTTGTATAGTACGGCAAAGACGCACGTTTTGATTGGTCGTTAGTTAATAGGGATGCACCGTTGTTAGGATTTTGTAGTGAAATCTTTTCTTTGCTTTCTCTTTTTTTAGGAATTAATTGGTAACTAAGTTTGTAGTTGGTTTTATAAAAAAAAAGACACTTTTTCTTTTAAATCATTTTAAGACATTTTTCCTTTTAAGTTCTTGTATGACGCACGAATAAGATTATGTGTTGAAATGAATTGAATTGTGAAAGAAGTGTTTTTTCAATTTCTACTGATGTGATAGATTTTTACAAGAATTTGTACAAATGACAATTTTATACCATTATTTTCTTAATCAAAATAATAAATTATACCTATGGACATTTATAATGAAGTAACTGCTTTGTTACAAGAGTGGTCCACCGCAGTCGAGATGCCAACCAAATTTTTTTAGATTTTTAGACAACAATTATAGATTATAGAATAAAATAGAATCACTCCTTATAGCTTTAAACTGTAACTAATTTGTTTGGAATGGAAAGGAATAGTTGGCATTTAAAAAATCTAAAGGCAGCTGTCCCACCGCCGGCGATAAAGCGACTAACTATCGACTTTTTCCTCGCTCAAGAAACGTACAATACATATACATAACGGGCAAATAAAAAAATATGCATATAATATTAATAGTTGATCGCTGACTATTCACACTGCCGGCGAGAACTCGCTCCACCATTTTGTCGCTTAGCGGCAACAGCTAACAAAGACAATAATGCAATCGCTGAGCGATGCTCGCTTGGCCATCAAAACGCGCACGCGTACAATTTTGCTCAATAATCGCCTGTTGTACTCGCACTTTCGTTTATAGTCCGGCGATAAAACTATCGAAACTACACACTCGCACGCTGCTCGCTAGCTTGTTTCTAGTTTATCTTCTCGCTTCTCGTTCAGCGTCGACGGTGGGACAAGTAATCTTTTCTAAGGCAGAGTTGACATGGAAATTGGAGGAAATCGAATTGAAAAGCCGATGTGATACAATAACTACTAAACTAAAATGCATACAATCTTTAAATCTTTCAATAATAAAAAACGCATTGACACTTTAATGCGTGCATGCGTTCTTTTTTAAGTTGCGGTCATAATACCGCGGTTTGTTAAAGAACGGTAACAATTGAAAATCTCCTTTTTTTGGCCGACGACGGCGTAATTTGGCGTAAGTGTGAAAACCACAATAATTGGTTGTTATGATGGTAATGACAAAAAGTTTTGATTCGTGCCTACCTTTTTATTTAGCTTTATGACATCAAGAGAATACAGCTGAGTTAGAAAATAAAAGTTTTGGACGGAAGTACCTTTTCGAATGGTACGCGGATGAGGATTAGATTAGGCCAAAAACAGTATAAGATTTTTCCGTCACAACCATCAGTTGCTTCGTGGCGTTTTGCGTTTAGTTGTGTACTTATGTTTTTTTTAAATTCGTTCCAACCGAATGCTCCACGAGACACAAGTTTGTTTTTTCTATACGAAACTCACATTAATAACTAAAAGTTTTATTACGAGAAAAAAAAATGTTACAATTACGTAAATGAGTATTGAAGTTGTAGAAAGTCGTTCCTGTAATTTATTAATAATCATTCTCGTAAAACTATTAAGGCAATAATCAAGACTTAACATAATATGCTGTCTAATATCCGGTTTCCGCATATTTTTAACTTTTGCGAACTACTTGCTTAGTAATGCTTAAAAGATCTCTACACTTTTACCGTGAACATATATATCTACCTAATTACTTAATAATGTATTCTAAAGAGTTTTGAATTTAATTATATATATCACTTTTAGAACGTAATGTTTATAGCCTTTCTCCTTAATTGTTTTTTTTAAACAACACCGCTAAAGAGGCACCGTTTTTAAGTTTAAGGTTTTTAAAATTTTAACGTACCTTTAAATAGCGCTGCAATAGCCAAAAGTCCTCCTAAGCCTCCCTTTTTACCACCGCCCAAACCTCCTTTAGCCCTGCCCTCACTGACCAAAGCTCTGGCTTCTTCAGTAGCACTCTCATCTAGTAACCTCAACTTAATCGTATGAGAATCCAGGTAATTCCCTAATTTGAACAGCAGGTACTTGTCAAGTCTCTCATCAGGTTTCGACGGCATAGCTCTAGCTAGCTCAGCGGCAAACTCTTCAGCCTTACTACCATTTTCGGAATTTGCTTCTTTCACTAAACTCACTCCTGGCAGAAGTCTCAATTCCTCTTTGGAACTCAGTTTTTCGAGCATAGAAATAGCTTCTATTTTCAAACACGTGGGGCTGAATATGCCTCCGGCGCAATCCTTTCCCATAGCCCTTGCTGCCGATTCAACCGATTCAACGTTGTTCTGAGCTCCATCCCTTACTTCAGGGTTGGGTAAGGCCACCGCACCTGCTATAACTACCACTAGGGATATGAACCGATACATTTTGGTCACGTCTGCACACAAACAAATGTGGTTACAGTTTGATAAGCGTTTGTTTCGTTCACCTTTTATATGTCTCAGCATAGAGTACTCTTATGTCAATTATATTTTCATAGTAGGCTGATTGCAAAAAGTCGACGACGACGCATGGGAATTGACACCTTCCATCTTACGCTACACGGTCGTGTTTCTATTGATGGTGTCACAGTTTCGGGTTCATTATATCGAGCAGTGACTAGAAACCAGAAATGGATGTGGAGCAATTTTTATGTATTTTTAATATTAATTTCTTTTTATCTTTTGTGTTAGAAGTGCCCATGCAGGTAAATTACTTTCACGTGCGTCTGATTAATTACGATTATCGGCGGGTGTAAACCATTTACACTTTTTTTTTAAGTAATTGCAAATTGAACAGTTTTAGAAATAACAGGTATTTTTAGAATATGTATATGACTCAAAAACTCCATCAATATAATCATTTTCCACTGTTTGTTATTTAAAATATATATATAAAGCTATTCAATTGTTTTTTAAGTTCGGACAGGTCTCCCACTAGTACCTTATTTATAAGAATAACACAAAGTAGACATTGTAATAGAAAATTGGCAAAGTTATCTTTCTAAGTAGTCTATGTATATTGAAAGTAGGCATCTATGCGGTATCAAATGAATGACCATCATTACAGAAAACAATAATAGAAAAACCACTAAACTACATTAGAATGTATTACATTCTAATGGAATGAAACCTATAAACATTGAACTTTGATAAAAATATAAGATTACATTGTAATAGATACATAAAATTCCATTCTTTTGTTGTATTCATTGAGTTGAACCATATTTAGGTATGATATTATGGCATATTATATAGCAATAAATTATGTTTGTGAAGATCCTAAATTGATATTCTTTAGATTTTGATAATAAGATTAATCGTAATAGTTTGCCAGTCATGTCGTCAGTATTTTATGTAGATAACGAATAAATATAATTAATAATCATTGTAATGGATAAAATCAAGAAATGTTATAAAATGTGGGTGATGTTAAAGTAGGCGTTAATACTAACCTCGTAACCCAATCATTTGGTTGTTTTTTGTTTATTTTCTTTAAAGATGCAAGTAGCCGATAAATAGTAAGCAAAAAACAGTCGTTAAGAAAATGTACGTATCTTAATTCATGGCACTTTGCATAGCAGAGATATCATTGACAGTTCCGATTTTTTTAAAACAGCTACTAACGTGTTTTCAACTACTAATTGGTTCGACTTTTTTTTGGTTATTAATTACTAAAATTCGAAATTCAGTTTAAAAGAAAGTATGTTGCGTTTGATTGCAAGATTTTATGTATCGAGTACTAAGTACAAATTTTATCCCGCCAAAGTGTTCTTTATTTAGAAGTGGTTATTGAAATGGTTTGCGTATTTACTTATCAAAACCTACTGTGGTTATTTGTAAATTTTATTTTTTTAACTTCGATGGCTACCTAAGTTTAGCCGTACAACTGAAGCTCCAATAATCCAAAGCTCGTGTCCTGATGATTGTTCATGCATGTAGCTATAGATATTGTATACATAGTATTAACAATACTAGCTCATTATAAACTTCTTTGTCCTGTTATCGAGAATGTATGTAGATTTTTAGGTTTGCCTTTTTATGCAAAACCTAGTGATATACTCGACATCCTCATGGTATTTAATGCTAAAATGGTAGTTGTGGTATTGTCACAAAATAGTTCAATGTTGTAAGAGTTCACTTACCTTTCATCATCATAGCCATTGCGAGGAGTCCACCCATGCCTCCTTTCTTGCCGCCGCCGAGTCCGAGTCCACCCTTAGCTCTGCCTTCGCCAATGGCTGACTTAGCTTCCTCCACTGCAGCATCGTCCAGAAGGCGCAGCTTCACCGAGTGTGTGTCCAAGAAGGTCCCGACGTGGTACAACAGGTATTTGTCCAGCCTCTCCTCAGGCTCCGCAGAAAGAGACCTCGCGAACTCCACAGCTTCAGGCTTAACCTCCTTGTCTTTAACCAAACTAACACCAGGTATCAAAGCCACTTCCTCCTTCGTGCTCAGCTTCTCCAGCAAATTAATAGCTCCGAGCTTCAGGCACGTAGGGCTGAAGATCCCGTTGGCACAATCCTTTTTGGTCACTTTTACTGCTTCGGGTGTCTCCGTACTTTGGTTAGGCATACCGAAAGCACTAGACACTACTGCGGCGATCAATACGATTTTGAACATCTTTGATGTTTATGTAAATGTATTTTTTTTTTAAATTCACACGTCCTCTTAGTCCGGGAGGCGATGGAACTGTGATTATCCGCTGTAATGTCACCCTTTTTATATTTTGTGCTTTGTGGTCAGGTGATTACTCCTGGCTAGCGCGTGTCTTGGTCTGTGAGTCTGCAGCATCCAACTTTATCGTGAACGTCAATCAAATAGACTTCAACAAAGCGTTCGACCTTATCTCCATCGTCAGACGTATCAAAATGTGAATGCTAAGTGATCGCTAAAAGTTTTGATGACCGCAAAATGTAGATATGCTCACCAGCACATTTTCATAGGATCGTTAGCGGAATGAGTGCAATAGTAATATTTGACCGTTGTATTAAACATTCAAATGCGTTCACGTACGGTCGCATATTCGTTGCGCGGATCACAGTAGTAGTTTTCGGCTTTAGTCTTGTTTTATTTTGATATGTTCATCTTAATTCTCAGGCATGGTTTCTATGATTTTGATGTTACGCTTACTATAGTATTTCTTTTGATGCAGATAACAGAACGCGTCTTTCATTTTGGCTAGAATAATCTTTGCGGATTTTTGTTCAGTAATATTTTGTCACAACCTTTATTGACTTTGCTGGTGAAAAATTAGTATACGTACGTATAAAAGTATATACAGTGAAAAGTCTATAGTGATAAAAAGAAAAAAATAGAAAACGATTGTGTATTTTTATAAAATAAGTGATACAATTTTCAGTGAAATTGTAAGTGATTATTTATATGTATATTATGCCAAATACTTTTTTTAAATCAATTAGAAAACATATCAGGCACAAAATTAAGACTTTATGTAATGGAAAGGATGACTCAAATTCTTTCTTAAATAGAAGAAAGCAAAAAAAAGACATTTTATAAATAAGTACTTTAATAAATAGATTTTTTCACCACATGTTAATTTTACATATAAAAGTTATATATTATATTATTTACCGAAATACTTGTATTATTTGCCTATACCATATTTAATTATTACTATATTTTTGTGTTCATGCCTATTGAGTATATTAGGGAAAATTTAATTTATTAAATAACTAGCTTTTGCCCGTTGCTTCGCTCGCGTTAATGTTGATTTTGTAAACCAATTCTGATTTTTGGTCAATTGGATCTGCCGATAGGAGGAGAAAGAAAACGTCCTTGCGAAAATAAAAACAAAAATAACCAAATGTTAATTGGTTCTGTAATATTTTGTCTCACTCGGAACTGAAGACGTCCTAATTTAACATCTTTCATTAACTTCTCCTGTACTTGGTTTAAACAATCATGGAAACAAAAAGATTATTATTTACGGATGTTGTTATGTACTACTATGTTGTGTACCTATTCATTACATAGATCATATATATTTCCCATAATACATAATATATGTTTCTTAGGTTATCACGCACATCACTCATTAAATAAAACTAGTTTTTCACGGGTTAATGCATGATGCAGCCTGTAAAGGCTGCGAAACGTCAATAAATAAATAAAGTTTCGTGCATTTACCCGTGAAAAACTAGTTTTATTTAATACATAATGTGCACTTATTTTTTTTGGAGTCTAATCTTAAAGTCTAAAATATACACGATCGCTCAAAAAAGTTGGAAAACTCAGAGGGAAATATTTTTTTGTGTTGTATCCATGATTGTAAATATTGGCAAATATCTCCAAATTTAGGGTTCTTTTAGGGTGCTATGCGTAATTGAGCAGAGCCAAGCCGTGTTAATCGGCAAGTGTTTTCATTGAAGCTGTGCGAATAAATGCTGTGCAGAGCTGTGAAATATGTGTAAAAATTATAGCTATTGACGGGATCGTTACCTGTTGTGTGCCTTGTTTCTTATGAGTCTCCAATATTTCGGCACTGTTGCAAGCGTCATGATCACGGAGTCAATAGCTATAATGATGATTTGTGATAAAAACCACTTGATGTAGTAAAATTTAAAATCCAGGATTTTATCCAGTATTTATGTCAAAAGGGTTGCTAACTAGCGTATGACTCGTTTCATGGTAAGCGGCCACCATAACCAATAGGAGTATCTTACAGTGATCAATATTATGGTGATACTAAGACCGCAGTATGATATGGCAGTTGTGATATTGACGCTTGCGATATCAAAAATATCACGAGCGTCAATATCACAACGCTACCTATCCTGACGTAATTACCCTACCCTGTGGAACCCCGAAACCTTACTCACCGACAGAAACTCAACACCACCAAAATGTAGAGTTATTTTAAGGAAGGACTATTTTTGTTTCTTAGGTTTTCACGCACATCACTCATTGAATTAAACTAGTTTTTACGGGTTAATGCACGAAACTTTATTTATTTATTGATGTTGGTAGTTTACGGTAGTTAGGGTCAAATAAATAAACTCAAAATTACAAAAAAGAATTTTAAATAAAATACTTTATCAAGTAAATTAAATAATAAATTCATACATAGACAATAAATCTTAAAAATCGAACAATGAAATAACCAAACGCTCAATAAAAGTCTTTCGGAGGTAGCTCGACAAATTAAATAAAAGTTTTATTCTGACGACGAAGCCTGTAAAGGCTACGAAACGTCAATAAATAAATAAAGTTTCGTGCATTAACCCGTAAAAACTAGTTTTATTTAAGGACTATTTTGTCATTATAACAACACAAAAATGAAATAGGAGACGTATTTCTTTTTTTTGTAGCTGTAGGAGCTAATGTATAGAGTACCTGTATATAAAAAAAAACTGCTAATGTTTGTACCAAATTGTTTAGACTTTCAAAGAATTCTGTATTTTGCCTTGGTGCGAAGTCATGTGGATTATTGTTGTGTTATGTGCTATCCGTCGTACCAAAATAATATACAGTGTTTGGAGAAAATACAAAAAAGGTTTTTAAAATCGCCTTTCTTATGTTAGTGGTGTTCACCTTTCAATACGAAGCTACGCTGACAGGTTGGTGCACTTCAAAATCTTGTCATTCGAGCAGCGAAAGAATCAACTAGCCATTACCTTTTTACGTAAATTATTAAACGATAACGTGGACTGTCCAACCCTACTAGCACAAATTAATTTTAAAGTACCCAGGGTCTAAGCTAGATTATGTAATTTCAAACCATTCCATATCGAATTCAGAAAGAATAAATATGGTGGCTTTTCTACTCTCTGTACAATGATGAAGTTAGAATTAATTGTCAGAAAACTGTGATATTGATATTTTTAACTATAGTTTGGGTGCTTTAAAAAGATACATTTATCTTCATCACACAAAAAGTTTGTAAGTGGTGTTTTGCAGTATTCTGTTTATCAAAATCGTTCATATTTCCTAGATATTTTAGGTATGTTATTTGATGACTAAATTTATAGTTTTGAATGTTGCGCATACCTATAATTTAGTCACATATATACATAACTAATGTTTGTATGTGTTTAGTTGGTAAGCCGTTATTAAATAAATAAATAAAAAAAGCTTTGTATCTGAAATAAACGGTTACATCTTTATGTAACTAGTGAGTTTTATTTATGAAACAAAATTAAAATTCAAAAAATATTAATAGTTTCGACTTGTTATATGTGTTTGTTGATCAACAAGAATACTATTCTTCGACTTTACTTATAATTTTGCTTTTTGTTTTGTTTTTTTCTGATTCTGGTATTTGATTTGTTACTTGATTCAAGTTTTTTGTTTGATTTTTAAATACTGCATAAAATTAGCTTTTGAAATATTGTAATAACTGATATACAGAACCTGATAAAGATGATATAGCACACTGTATTGCTTCTAACCTGAATTCCATAAATTTTCATAACAATGTAATTGTAGGCACTCAAGTTCTAAAACCTATGTATTATTTTAAAATGATGTAAACATTGATGTACATGACTGTATGTTGCCAAAAAAATAAATATATAATAGATTTTAATAAATAAAACTATTTTTTAACGGGTTAATGCACGAAACTTTATTTATTTATTGACGTTTCGCAGCCTTTTCAGGTCCGCTTCGTCAGAATAATGTTTTTTTTTTAATTTTGTCGAGCTACCTTCGAAAGACTTTTATTGAGCGTTGGTTGGAGCGTATTTAATGAGTGATGTGCGTGAAAACTTAAGAAACAAATAGTTTTTAATACATTGTTTATAGCAAATTTGTAAAGTTTTAATTGTTTAAATATGGATGTATGGATTTATTTATATGTAATGTCCGATAAATTACTCCACCCCAACTGATGTTAAATTTCTTTAGAAAAAATCTCAGTAATCTCTTTATTATAGCGCGAGGAGTAAGATATGGAGGAAGGCCTATTATAAAGAAAACAATAGTCAGGCTGAAACTTGCTATTGTAAGTTTATATTTTAGACCTTATTTCACTTAAAAATAAGGTCAAGAATTATATTATACATTCTTGTAACGACCTTTGGTTGAATATGATTTTTATTATATTTGTTTCTTAGGTTTTCACGCACATCACTCATTAAATAAAACTAGTTTTTACGGGTTAATGCACGAAACTTTATTTATTTATTGACGTTTCGCAGCCTT